ACAAGAGCTCAAAAGGGAATGTATTTTCAGGAAAACTATCAAAGAAATCTGTCAAAAAAAAGTCTGCAGTTACTGAGGCAAGTTTCTGTACGTAAATAAAAGGGGGCTTCATAGAGTTCATGGGAAAATATTTTTATCTTCCAATTCCACTTATACAAGAACTTTTCGAGGCCTGCCCCCCTCCCCCCAACCTTACACATAAACAACTTAAAAAGAACGGAAGAGGAAAAAGCATCAGGTGACCACAGCACAGGACTCATTGGCAGGATCCGCCGCTGTTTGTGTGGATAATCTTAGATAGGTCACTTTAACTTCTGTTTCCTTCATCTGTCTGTGGTGGGAAAGCCTGGTCTACCACAGTGATGTGGACAATAACAAGTGATTGCAAAATACTTTTGAAACAGAAAACCCATATCGTAACATCTGATCGCATGCCATTTTTATAGGCAATGATTCTCTTTTTTGTTTCTTAAAAAAACAGGTATCTGGACCTTCGTCGCTTTGGCTCTGTACCACATGGAGGTTTTGGGATGGGATTTGAACGCTACCTGCAGTGCATCTTGGGAGTGGACAATATCAAAGATGTTATCCCTTTTCCCCGGTTTACGCATTCGTGCCTTTTATAGCTGGAGGCGTGATGGTGGACAGTCGCCCTGTGGTGGAGGCTCTGGTCATGAGTACGTGTGCAGCAGACAAATGCAGGCGGTCTTGCCTTAAAATGCAGCATATAGAAACTAGAAATTACCGTGGCATTTTGGAGAAAGGTGAAGGCACTTCATGGAAAGATGATCACCCCCAAGAAGAGGTACTTAGAGCAAATGGAACCTGAAATCTATGACCTCCCTGAAGAAGCAACGCAGACATTGAACGGAATGGCTTCAAAGCCCCTTTCACACCCTAAGACGGGGTGAGACGGTGTTTTCAGTTCTGTCTTTAATCATTGGATCACTGCCCTTGTGTAACCTTGGAAAAATCCATGTCTTAAAAATAAAATTTTTGTTGGCTCTTTTACCCTGGCCTCTTAACTTGTGACTAACTGCCATTTTGTCCCCAGTGCCTTACTAAGCATTGCAGAAGAAAACATTCCTTACTAGGATTTTATCCAACTGTGTTGGGATGTGATAAAATCGCTCCAAGAATGGAAATTTTCAAGTTAGCTGAAAATATCATTGAATGCCACTTAATGAATATCACTTAATAAAATATATTTTAACAACTACTGTCTCTTAATTAGAGTTCCCAGGTGGTGCCAACGCTTTGTACTCAACGACTGGCCCGACGGTTGGTGTTGCAAACCCACCCAGAGGGCACGTGCCACCGGAGAAAGCCCTGGCAGCCTGCTTCTGTGAAGCTGAGACCCCAGAAAGCTCCATGGCGTGGTTGCATCCCGGCACATAGGAGGCACTGGGAGGCAGACTCTGAGCTCGGCAGCTGCGGGGGTGGGTCTTCATCTGGTTCTGGACCTGTAAGTGCCAATGCCAACCATGTATTCGTGGTTTCAGCACTTTAATCATGGTTTTCTTCTAATTTCGTGTTTATTAGACATAACTTATCTAATGTCAATAAATTAGATTTTTAATTGTTACTCTGGGGAAGAAAGCAGCAATTATATCTCTAATTGCCTCTGGCCCTGTCCCCGTGAAATTTGGGGGAAAGGGTATTTTCAGCCCAGGGGGAGGACGTCTCTTCCTCACGGTAACGGACTTAAACCCGGATGATGGGTTGTTCCGGAGGGAGGCATGGTAAAGTGAGCCGGGCTTGAGGCCTGACACTGAACATGTAAGCCGCTGACTCCCATAGGAGCAAGTGTTCCCTTCCTCAGAGTTGATATGCAACAATATATATGTACATTTCTGTGTGTTTACATTTATGAAATGCAACACAAGCTTTTAAAACACTCTTCTAGTCTACATTGAGTTGCATTTTATACTTCAGCAGAATTTTAGTGTGTCAAACAGTTGAAAAGGGCATGCATGCCTAAACAATCAAGTTTCCTGGGCCCATCAGTTGACTCCTCTTAGGTGATTTCTAATGAGTTTGCATCTGTACTCTTATTTGTAACGTAAATGAAAACCCAGCATCCGGAAGGAAAGGAACTGCAGAACCTAAGACTTGGGAGACACTTGGCAGGTTACTGCGGTCAACTTCCCTCCTAAGGCTCAGGGGTGCCTATGTTCTTGGACTCCCATTCTCTAGAGCAGTGGTTTTCAACCTTCCTAATACCTCGACCCCTGAATACAGTTCCTCATGTTGTGGTGACCCCCAACCATAAAAGTATTTTCGTTGCTACTTCATCACTGTCATTTGGCTACTGTTATGAATTGTAATATAAATATCTGGATTGCAGGATGTGTTTTCATTGTTATAAATTGAACATAGTTAAACATAATTAAAGCATAGTGATTAATCACAAAGCAATATGTAATTATATATTGTGAAATATTTGTGTTTTCCAGTGTTCTTAGGCGACCGCTGTGTCAGTCTGGGTAGACTATAGAAACAAATCCAAAAAAAAAAAAAAAGAAAGAAACAAATCCAGAGACTCACATATGTGTGTAAGACAGATTTATATACAAGAGGAATTGAACATTGAGAAAACACCCTAACCCAGTCCAGTCCAAGGCCATAAGTCTGATAATCCTCTTCAGACTCACGAAACACACGCAATGAAGCCAAATGCAGGACGATCACCAGCCAGTGGGTAGAAAGTCTTTGGGTCCAGTGGCATTGTAAGCATCTCAGTGCTGGTAGGGGTCTCTCTGTGGCTTCTGCTTCCAAGGTCTAGTTGCATCCATGTGTCTTGTCTTCTTCAATGTCTCCCAGGGAGTGACAGAGAGAAGTGTCTTCTGCCTCCAAGGAGGAAGTACCAGAATTCTCAGGAGAAGGCCGTGCCCACAGAAGTCTCTTTGACTATCTCCAGATTGACAGCCGAGACTCCACCCCTACACTCTTAATCCTCAAATTGACACCTGACTAGGTGACTACCACAAGCCCTGTGAGAGGGTCGTTTGACTGCTAGAGGGGTCACGACCCACAGGTTAAGGATTGCTGCTCTAGTGGAAAATGATACATTTAGTGTTCCAGTCTCGTCTGGACAGGGAGCTCAACATTCCACAAAATGCCCCATTTCATCTTTGCATCTCTCTACTTGGTAACTTTGACTACACTATCTCACACCATGTCGACTTCCCTGAGACTTCAAGCCCGTGTGCTCAGTCAGACACCAAATCCATCACTGGAGAAGAGGGACGGGGACGGTGCCCATATGCTTGCCCCACAGGATGAGGAAGAGAACTCACTTGTGTATTCAACAGCTGTGATCTGAGCTTCGATGTGCCAAGAATTGTGGCAAGTGACAAAGTAATGTAAGCAAACAGGATGACTCTTGCCTTAGTGGAATTTACCATTTAATGGAGAAGACAGACAATAAGTTAAGTAAACAAATGATTTCAAATAGTGATATATGCTGTTCGATTCTTTAAAGAATAGGGCAAGTGTCTATTAGTGAAAAGGTAGTGTTTATGTCACCTCCAACGTGGAAGATGACATGCAGGAACCACTGTAAATACTGGCGGCGGCAGCCCATGTTCATCGGGTCCTCTAGCCTCACTTGGTGTCATGGGAATTGTGTGGAGCAAGAATTACAAACATTCGCAGACCCCAAGCTTAGAGGCAATTTTGCTTGCAAGGCTATCAGGCATCTTGCTTCTAGTAATTTTTCATGGACCAGATAGAATTATAAACATTACCATGACGGCATGGCCTCAAACACAACATTGATGGAAAGACTACTAAAGTAGGAGAGAGAAACTCCAGGTCCAGTCACAGCTGTGGGGCACCAGCAAATTGTGGCCTCGGGTTATTTCATCTGCAGAACTGTCATTTTAAAATCGATAAGCCAGGATCCCTCTAGCGTGTAATCTTGTGTGGATCTCTGTGGGCTGTAGTCACTAGAAAGTTTACTTTTGTACCACGTGATGTTCTCTATTGTAGTGCACACATACTCGGAGTCCAAAAATATATACGGAAATCAAATCACGGGAAGTTGAATGATGGACTCCTGAGTGTCCAAGGTGGATGCGCGTGGAGCAGGGAAGGTCCTTCTGAAGGACCTTGCTTTCTGCGCGCACTTCTCTACTCCCAGCACTATGTTTGACAGCACTGCATCGCCAAAGCTTCCTACTTGTTCATTGTTTTCATCTTTGGCCTAACGCTTCTATTGTACCCATTGCACAAAACTGAATACTGGCATCACACAAAACCACTGAAAATACCAACACAGAGCTCTTGCTTGCAGACAGCATCAACAAGAAAAACTGTGAGCTGTCCGTTTGTCAGCTTAGATAGCAGCATCTGGTTTCTATGGACAAATGATGTTCTAAAGGCTTCCATGTACAATGAATGTCACCCCACATTCCTCTCCGAATCTGTCATTCCCAGCATAGTAAACCATATGATTATCATTCAAAATGTCCAATACCAGTCTATTTTAGCTCACTGATGCCCCAGCATACGAGCCGTCCCATTTCATTTTTTATGACTTCCAGTTTTCATACTTTGTGCCACACATATGTGCCACACAGCTTCTCAGTTTGTGTCGTGCCCCATCAGCAAATAAAAGTCCCCAAAGTTTTACTGCTAACAAATCCTAATGTTGACTCTACTTTGAGGAGGCAGCACGCGGTCCGTTGTGTTGAGTGCTGTTTTTGCCAACCTGAGGAGCTCACCTTCCATTATACCTGACAGTTCTCTGCTAGTCATAAGGTTTTTAGTGGTGAATTTCTCAGAAGCAGCAGCCTATTCCTTCGTAGTCTGGAAGCTCCTTAAACCCTATTCACCTTCAGTGACCCTGCTGGTGTTTAATACACCAGTGATAGAGCTGCCAGTAAGTGTCACATCAACACGCAAGCCAACAAGTACAGACAAGTGGTGGGATTGGAGGAAGGCTGATGGGCCTTTGATATATATAGATGGCACGACTTTGCAAGCAAGGATGTCTTGAAGCACATGCTGATGAATGTCAAGGACTACAGCCTTCAGGGTGGATTACAATTCAGTGTGAAGAAAAAAATGCTCACAACTGGACCAATAGGCAACATCACAGTGAACAGAAAAAAAGGTAGCAAGGATTTCATTTTGCTCGGGTCCACAGCCAATGGTTCTGGAAGCAACGGTCAGTAGAATGAGACCAACATAATGCATTGATCGACCGTGCTGCACAAGACTCCTCTAAAGGGTTGAAGAAGGATGTTACTTTGAAGACTAAAGCGCGCCTGACCAAAGCCATGGTACTTTCAATGGCCTCGTGCATGTGGAAGTTGAAAAACAAGTAAGGGAAGCCACAGAAAACCCTGCATTTGAATGAGGATGCTGGTGGGGAATATTGAAAGTACCTCGGATAGCCAAATAACAACCCAGTCTGCCTTGGAAGACGTGCAGCCAGCCAGAATGTTCTTAGAAGTGAGGATGGTGAGGTTTCCTCTGGTGTGCTCTGTACATGTTAGCAGGAGAGCTCAGGCCCTGGAGATGGCCATGCTTGGCAAAACGGAGGCTCGGTGGAAGAGAAGACTGGAAAAGATGGGCGGACACACTGGCTGGAACAATGGACTCAGGCATAGCGATCGTGAGGGTTCGTGCAGGGCTTTCCGTCCGTCGTGCCTGGGTCAAAACTGACTCGGCCCCCAGCACCACCACCATGTACAATGAATGCCAGCTCTAGAAACTGTCCAGTGAGGAATCAACTTGAAAGAAATGGGTTTGGCTTGTGGTTTTTGTACAGTGAGGGAGCTGGGGTGGTGAGTAGTTGGGCTCAGGAGGAAGATGAGGCAGTCTGGCTCTGGAAGCAGTCTTGAGAGAAGACGGTGGGGGGGGGGGGGGGGTGTGCCTACTCTGTCCCAACAGGTCCCTTCAAGTCAGAATCAACTTGATGGCAATCGGTTAGTTTTTGTTTGTTTCAAATACAGAATGAATGAAAGTATGGGTCTGATAGTCAAGAACCGTCTACACTATACAAGTGTTCTTAGAGGGCTCAGTTTGTGAGGCGGTATAGGTGACTTCAGGGGGGGCTAATCTTACTGGAATACTCAGTTTTCACTGTGGGGTAAAGAAGATCCTATTTTCCCAACATCACCCCAAAATAGTAACCTCACTCACCCAAGAAAGAGCGTACTTTAAAACGTAGATGTTTTTTCCATGACTCCCATTCTTTTTTGGAAGAAAGGTGAAGAAAAATCTCCATCTGTTTCTTCTCTAGCCTGTCCCAGTCTGCTCCGACAAGAACTTCACTGTGTGAGGGGGCCGTTCCAGGCTTAGCCATTACTCCCCCACCACCACCACCATCACCCCTGGGACCCAGCCCAGAGGCTTACTTATAGCTGTGACGGAGCAGCTGACCTTTTGTCCCCCTCAGACAGGACTTGCCAGGAGCCACCCTGTACAATGGGATACATTCATTCATCCTCTTCTACAAATTGCATCTAGGCGAACTCCAGCATGCCGGAACGGGCACTGAGGAAACGCTGGGGGAGATGGACTACCTATCTATACGCATCTTTAAATCTCTCACTGAAAAACATTATAGACGAACTTTATTTATTTGGATTGGATTGCTAGTGATTCATGTGTTTGTTTGAGTAAGTAATGAAGCAAGAACATGAAAATGCAGAGTCGGAAGACAGACTGGCCTGGACGAATCGATAGGAAATGTGTGGGGCCTTTTGGCTTCTGATTAGTATTTGTATTCAGTCTGCAATCTAAAGTATGTAGGGTACAAAGAAAATAGGTGGGACTGTGCGCTGATGGCCATGTGTTCCCGGTTTACATTCTAAAGCACGGGAGCTTTAAAAAGCATTCAGAGCAGAAAGGCAGCCTGAGGCCTCTGCACTGAAGGGAAGTAGTAGGACTTCCATTCCTTGGCAGGGGCCAACACCCTGCAGAACCTTGGTGCTCCACCATTGCCCAGAGCCCTGGGTGGCCCCTCTGATGAGCTAAACCTCCAGTTAGCCCTTGGGCAAAGTTTGGCTTGGAGTGTAGTGAATTTACAGGCATGATTAGCACACTGTGTGGTAGCATCTGGGGGAGCCTTGTTAAACCAGGGGTTTAAATGGCTCTTCAGCTGGTCGTTGAATTAGCAGAGCCCAGGAGGCTTCAGCAGGTTTCTGCTACACCTTGACTGCCCATTATTGTTAAGCATGCTTACGGGGGTAGGGAGTGTCAAAAAGTCCATGGGGAAATCCATGATCTTTTCATTCCATT